GTACATATGCCTTTCCCAGGAGATGCAGTGTGGGACAGGGGATAGATTGTTGGACTCAGGGTCAGGAAGAACTTGGTTCAAGTCTCACTTCTGATATATGCTGGCTGTGTGACACTGGGCAAGTCACTTAACCTCGCATTGCCCCAGACCACTCTCTGAAAGTACAATTTACAGAGCAGTTTCTGATAGGCACAAGGAATATCTCTATCAGGAGCGCCCTAAACCAATTAAGTCATAGGCTCTGGCAAAACAAACATGCAAAGTAATACAGGCTATTAGAACTGAAAATGACCTTAGAACATAAAGGAGGTACAGAAGAAGAAACACTGGATTTAGAGTCAGAGGACTTGGGTTCACATTTGTGTTCTGTCACTTATTATCTGGCTTAGGGAAACCATTTAATCTCTTTGGCATCTCAGTTTCCTCATCTGTAAAATGAGTGGGTTGGGCTAGATTTCCAACTATATCATCCTATGATCCTAATGTTAAAGCTGGAAGGGGCCACAGTAAGTTAAATATGAGAGGATAGAATGGAGAAGTAGAGCATGACATTTGGCATCTAGAGACCTGAATTCTAGCTTTTCCTCTGCCCATTAAACTGTTGACAAATCACTTCATCCATCTGTATTTCAATTTCTTTATCTGAAAAGTGGGGTAATAATAGCTATACTATTTACTGCATCTGAGTGTTGAGAAGAAAACTCCCTGAGAATAGTAAATAAATAACTATGGTAATAAGAGCTATTACTATATGTGTAAACTAGAAGGACTATTTGGAACCTTAGAGGTAGAAGGGATGATAACAATCACTGAGGCCCCAAGCTTAATTTTACATATAATGAAACTAAGTTTAAAAGAGACAAAGAGACACCTTACCAGAGCCAGGACTAGAGCCCAGATTTTCTGATTCTTAATCCAGTGTCCTTGGCATTGCACCAGGTTGCTGTCTTGATGTCTTCCTCAGAGATTGAATTACTAAGGGACCCAGAATCTCTGGATCCCTATACAACTACTTCTCTGCCAAGGAATCTCCAAGATTTCCTTTCTGTCTCTGTCTCTATCTCTTTCTCTCTCTCTCCATATCTTTTGCTCTCCCTTTCTCTCTCTCTCTTTTTCTGTATCTCTGTGTCTCTGTGTCTTTCTGTCTTTCCTCCTCACCTTGGTCTGGGGGATAAAGGAAATTTCATGAACTGAGTCACTGATTACTGGTGCATCCTATATACCAGAACGCAAGAAAGAAGCTGTCAAGATGAACTGATAATCAGTGACTCATTTCATGAAATCATATATATTCTCTTGATGAGTGGATCTCTTATGGGCAGTATATTTCCATTCCTCTTTTTTTTAGGTGATTGGGGTTAGGCAACTTGCCCACGGTCACGCAGCTAGTGTCAAGTGTTTGGTCTGAGGCCAGATTTGAACTCAGGTCCTCTTGACTTCAGGGCCGGTGCTCTATCCACTATTTCCCTTCCTCTTAACACTGACAAAAGCTTATCTATCCCATTTCCCCACCTCTGTCAGCTTTTTCTTCTGCTAGAGTAACTCCAATAAATTAGCTCAAAATCAAGTGTTTATGAGATGATAAAACTTTATCCCTCCCTAATAGAATTTGTATTTTCCCAGGTCCCTTTGATGTCTTAACCTAAAGAAAAGAATCATAAGGATTTCGGGTAATGTATCGAGAGAGAGAGAGGTAATTTGAGTTGGGGGGAAGAAGGGGAAGATTTTCCAACCAAACCTTCTCTATGCATGGAGCTAGCCCTATAGAAAGACCTTGTGATAAATAGCCCACTGTCTACCTATTTTTTTTGGCATCCCATGTTGTAGACAAGAATAATCTTCTGTCTATTCAATATAAATGAAGTGGTTTCTATGCTCAATGTCAAAGAAATTGTTTGGTTATCTTAGCCATTCTATTAACAAGCATTTATTAAGGACCTTAATCCACCCCAAATGTTCACATGGAGTATTTGTACCCAACCTGTGGTAGAATAATCTGAGCTTGTGTTGATCTGATCAGCCACAGTCAGACACATTGTAACTTGGCTCTAATGTAGTGATGCCGTTTTGGGTCCTCTTTGAGAGTGAAGAACAACAAACTACCAATCATGTGCAAGGCATTGTACTAGACACAAGGCTTGTAAGATATAAATGAAACACTCTGACACAGGAAAGTAAGACTACAGGGATAATTTTAGGTTGGAGGTGAGATGCTAGCATCCAGGAGTGAGGATTAAATAAGACCTCACCTGGGCTATGCCATCTGAGCCAAGCTTTGAAGTAAGTGGGCGATCCTGAGGCAGATGAGAAGAATGAATGAATTTTGGACATAGGGGACAACCTTTGCAAATGCATGGAGAAAGGAGGTGAAATCTTATGATTTGTGAGGAATAGCATGAAGGCCAGTTTGGCCAGACCAAGGGGTGCATGAAAGGAAGTAGTATGTAATAACCTAGAAAAAGAGATTTGGAGCCAGGTTGTGATGTGAAACAGGGGATCTGATATTTGATTCTATAGGCAACAGTGAACCATGGGAGCTTCTTCAGCAAGCAAGTGATCAGAATTTTTTAAAAGACTATTACTTTGGCAATTCGACAGAGGGTGAATTGGAGAGGGAGCAAGGAGCAGAGAGACCAATTAGGAGGTTATTACAATAGTCCAAGTGAAAAAAGATAAGAGCCTGGATGGGTGGTGGTTTAGTGAGTGGAGAGAAAGGTAAAGATGTGAGAAATGTTTTAAAGGCAGAACCAACAAGACCTGCCAACTGATTGGATGTGGAGGTGTTCAGAGAGAGTCGAGATTATCTTCAGAGTTGCAAATGTGTTTAACAGAAAGCATGATGGTATCTTTGACAGAAACAGATAAGCCATAAGGAGGGGTAGTTTTTTTGGGGGGGTGATTTAATTCTGTTTAATTCTGTTTTGGACACATTAATTTTGAGATGGCTTTGGGACACAGAGTTGGAAATTTCCAATATGCAATTGATGATGTGCAACTGGAACTCACAAGAGAAACCAGATCTCTCTCATCTCATGTGTTTGGTGTAAATCAAGGGCTTTTATAAGTGGTGACTTGTTTATAATTGACAAGCAGAAAATACAGTAGAAGAAAAACTATTTAACCTAGGTTAGAAGAAGAATCGTATGTAACAAGAAAATCCAGCTAATGATTCTCACAGCTTTATTTCTAGGAGTCTTGTATAAATGGTAAAGTCTGAGATGAAATACCAAGAACAGGCTAGCAATACTAAAGAGAAGAGACAGGAGGTGGGTTGGGAAAAGAAACGGTAGGAGAAGAGATATTCAAAAGGTTAAGCACTAGAGGAACCCCAGGAAGAGGCTGCTTTCACCTCTGGTTATAGTCCCTGCCTCTAGCCTAGGGTTTAAGGCCTCTTCTTTATATTTCTTTCTTGATCCTCTGATATTTAACCTCTCATTCTTTTCACCACTTCTCTTGAATAAAAATATTCTCTCTATCAGTGTTATGGCTGATCTTTTCTCCAACATACCACCATCCCATGCCTCAATAGCAGATTTTAACAAATTGCTGTAGCCCAAAGATTCACTCCCCTTGCTCTCCATATTCAGTTAGATCTGTCTTTGATTTAGTCATGCTGGAAGCCTTTCCAGTGCAGTAAAACTTTCCAGGTCTTGTGCTCTAAAGAACACAGAGAACCCTTTATGTCCTGCAGATGCATCAGAGCCTCAGGAAAGAAATAAGTTATTTATATTGGACACGACCCCAGTGTCTTTGCAACATACAGTTTATCAGTCCATTGGAGAGTGGTTCAGAGATATGTGGATAGAAAATACTCATCTCTCTCTATTCTGTTCAACACAAGCCACTCAGAGCAGAGATGGTTATGGCAGAATGATTATTACTAGGAGTGAGAACAATCCATCACAAGCATTTAGTAAGTGCTGATACATACTTGGAACTATACTATTCTCTGAGGATAAAAAGCCAAAAGTGAAACAGTCTCTGTCCTCAAAGGACTTATATTCTTTTTTTTTTTTTTTTTGCTAGGCAATGGGGTTAAGTGACTTGCCTAGGATCACACAGCTAGTAAGTGTTATGTGTCTGAGGCCAGATTTGAACTCAGGTCCTCCTGAATCCAGGGCTGGTGCTCTATCCACTGTGCCACCTAGCTGCCCCTAAAGGACTTACATTCTAACAGGGACAAATGTACACATCTACAGGGATGTCTGAAAATTTTTAGTGTTATTTTATGCTGTTAAAGCTTTATAAATATAAAGTACATAAGTTTATATAGAAAATATAGGGATAGGATCTGGACCTGTGATTTTATTGGTGTAGAGACTTCCTGGCAAGGAACTTCCTCTCCCACTGTAGGGCAACACTGTCTCTGAAACATATAATCATAGATAGCTGGCCAGAGCACTGAGGTTAATTGATTTGCCAAGGGTCACACAGCCAATAGTGTTGGAGGTGAAACTTGCACCTAGATATTTCTAGATCAGCATTTTAGCCACTACTACATGCTCCTCTCAATATATACATACAAACACACATATAAGTATATATGTGTATATATACATATATGTATATATATATATGTGTACATATATATACATACATATAATTCAAAATAGTTTCAGGAGGGCTAAGAGACTAAAGAGTTAAACAAGGGTTACATTGATAGTGTAGAGATGAAGCATGCCGCAGAGGAATGAGCACTGAACCTAGAGTTTGATTTCTAACATTCTGGTTCTCAGGTCCCTTTAATCTCTAACATTACAGGTTTTCATGAAACATGGGTTTATGAACTAACACTCCCAGCCCACACTATTCATGCCTAAGTCTAACAGTTATTCTAACATTTTTTTCTGGGGTACCTTGGAGTTCCAAAGAAGTTGAGATTTGTACAAGGTCACATGGATGGTAACAAAGCTTTGATTTGAACACAGATCATCTGGGTCCAAGTGGTATGCTTTCCCCGTGCCAAACTGATCCCTTCTTCTTTAAGCTGATAGAACAGAATGGAGAGGGAGAACAAGACAAGTATCTCTGAATTCCGCCTCCTGGGACTTCCTATCAGACCACAGCATCATGTTCTGTTTTACATTCTTTTCCTGAGCATGTATCTCACCACAGTCCTGGGGAACCTGCTTATTATCTTTTTGATCAGACTGGACTCTCACCTTCATACTCCCATGTATTTCTTCCTCAGTCACTTGGCCTTCACTGATGTCTGTTTCTCATCAGTGACTACCCCAAAGATGCTGGTGAACATGCAGACAGGGAGCCAGACCATTCCCTATAATGGCTGCATCTCACAGATGTGTTTCTTCATATTCTTTACTGATCTGGACAGCTTCCTGCTCACTGCAATGGCTTATGATCGCTATGTTGCCATCTGCCACCCTCTCTATTATACCACTGTTATGAGCCAGAGTCTCTGCAGCCTGCTGGTGGTTGGCTCCTGGATTGTCTCCTGTGCCAGCTCTTTTTCCCACACCCTTCTCCTGGCCCAGCTGTCCTTCTGTGCAGAAAATTCTGTCTCCCATTTCTTCTGTGACCTAGCCGCTTTGCTCAAGCTGTCCTGCTCAGACACTTCCCTCAATGAACTAGTCATGTTTACTATGGGAACAATAGTCATTATGCTTCCATTAATATGTGTCCTTGTCTCTTACATACACATTACTGCCACCATCCTGAAGATCCCTTCTACCAAGGGGACCTGCAAAACATTGTCTACCTGCGGCTCACACCTGTCTGTAGTGTCTTTGTATTATGGGACAATCATTGGCCAGTACCTTTTCCCTTCCTCCAGGAATTCAAATATCAAAGACATTATCTCTGCCATGATGTATACAGTGGTGACTCCCATGCTGAACCCCTTCATTTATAGTCTGAGGAACAGGGACATGAAGGCTGCTTTGAGAAGAATCCTCAACAGAACAATATTCTCCTCTCAGCGACAGTAACTCATGCTTCTAAACTAGCTCCATTACCCTAATTTCACTCAATGCATGGAGTTAAACATAATCTCTACTTATGCTACAGTTGAAAAGGTAATAATAATCATACCTTATATTTCTTTATTGTTGACAATGGACTTTCACATATGTTATCTCATTTGATCCTTAATTGTAACCCTTTGAAGCTAGAATGGCAGAAATTATTACCACATTTTCCAGATGTAGAAACTGAGTCCCAGAGACTGTTTCATGCAGGAATCAAATTGATGCTGCTTACTTCTACTATGTCTACAACCCCATATGGATGCTCAATGATTGCTAATGAGGTTATTTCTACTACCTTTGGTACCTAAGACCAGTTAAAATGTCAGTTTAAAATGTTGGGATCTTCATATGCTGTTTATTTTATTTGGAGGGAATTGGGAATCCTTGGACAGAATGGAAGAGACTGTCAGAGAGATCTCTCAGCATCTTTCCTTCCTTCCTTCCTTCCTTCCTTCCTTCCTTCCTTCCTTCCTTCCTCCTTTCATTCTTTCCTTCCTTCCTTCCTCTTCTTCCTTTCTGCCTCTCATTCTTTCTCAAACATTTTAAAGCACAACTATATCATGATGTTATGCAAATCATTGGGAATAGTTTTGAATGTATTGTGTTTTTCCAAATGTAGATTGCCCTTCTGCCCCCAAATCTGCCTGCCTGAAACTAACAATCCATGATATAAATGCATGTATATATATATATATGTATATATGTACATATATATACACACCCACATGCATCTATAGATATATGTACCTTTCCCTCTCTCTATATATATCCATACACATACACACATATACATACACACATGTACATGTATGTATATACATACAAGTACAGTCATGTCATCTTCTACCCCCCTCCCCAGAAATCAATAAATTTCAGCAGCTCCCTATCATCTTCAGAATAAAAGACAAAGCTCTCTGTTTGGCATTCAAAACTCTTTATAACTTAGCCCCCTCCTACCTTTCCAGTCTTTTTGTACCTTATTCCCAGTCATCTATTTTTCTATTCAATGACATTGGCTTCCTTGTTGTTACATGAACAAGACATTTCATCTTTTAGCTCTGGGTATTTTCTTTGGTTGTTTGCCATGCTTAGAATGTTATCTCTCCCCATCATCCCTAGCTTCCTTTAGGTCCCAACTAAAATCCTACCTTCTACAGGAAAATTTTCTGAACTCCTCTTACGTCTAGTGCCTTCTGTCTCTTAACTATCTCCTATTTGTCTTTTACACAGTTTGCTTGTACATATTTTTGATTGCTGTCTACTCTATTAGATTATGAGTTATTTGATGGTAGGGACTATCTTTTGCCTTTTTTTTGGTATCCTCAACACATCACAGTGCCTGGCATATAGTATATGCTTAATAAATGTTTATTGATTGATTGACTTCCCATTTCCCTGCCTATTCTAGTCGAAGGGACAGTAGTTAGCAAGGCCTTTTCCCACCTTATCTTGCCTCCTTCAAGTGATGGCCTAAACTCATTAGTCCTGAAAGTATCACCTGTCACAAACAAAAATGTTAAGAAGCCCTGCCCTTAAGGAGGTTACATTCTAATGGGAGAGATAACAAAAATATGAATATAGATATACATACGTATATATGTGCATATATATATAATAAACTGAATACAAGGTAGTTTGGGGAAGGCCTAACACTATCATCTGGGGATATCAGAAAAGATTTTGTATAGAAAATAATACTTGAGTTGTTTTGAAAAAAACTAAGTATTATGAGAGTAGAAGGTGAGTCCTGGAGGGCACAGACACTGGAGAAGGGGAGTCATGTGTGCACCAAAGCAAGTAGGCAAGTGTGAGTGTATTGTAAAGTAAGTAGAGGAGGATAATGTGTAAGAAGACTAGAAAAATAGGAAAGACCCAGATTGTGAAGAGATCCAAATGTCAAATCAAGAAATTATTGTTTAATTTTTGGTGTACTGCCCTTGAAGAATATTACTTTGTACAGTTAGTAATCATAACTGTAAATATAAGTGGGATGAACTCACCCATAAAATAAGAGTGGATAGCAGAATGGCTTAGAAACCAGAATCCAACAATATATTGTTTACAAGAAACACACTTGAAAGACAGAGACATACTCAAAGTTAAAATAAGGGGCTAGAGCAGAGTATTATCCTTTAGCTAAAGTAAAATAAAAACTAGGGTAGTGATTAAGATCTCAGACAAAGCAAAAACAAAAATAGACCTAGTTAAAAGGGATAAGCAGGGTTGTGATAACAAAAAGGGATAAAACTATATCTTGCTAAAAGGCACCATAAGCAATGAAGTAAAATCAATACTAAACATGTATGCACCAAAAGGTATAGCATCCAAATTCTTAAGGAAAAAGTTAAATGAATACAGAAGGTAATAGAAAGTTAAAGTATACATGTGGGGCACTTCAACTTTTCTCTCTCAGAGCTAGATAGTTCTAACCACAAAATAAATAAGAAAAAAGTCATGATGATGAATAGAATCTTAGAAAATTTGGATATAATACATCTCTGGAGAAAACTGAATGGAAATAGAATGGACTATACCTTTTTTCTCAGCTGTCCATGGCACCTTTACAAAAACTGATCTTGTATTAGGGCTTAAAAACTTCACAATCAAATGCAGAAAAGCAAAACTACTAAATGCATCTTTTTCAGACTATAATACAATAAAATTACATTTAATAAAAGGAACATAGATTAAATGGAAACATAGATTAAAAGTTAATTGGGAACTAAATAATCTAATCCTAAAGAATCATTAGTCAGAGGACAAATCATAGAAACAGTCAATAATTTCATTAAAGAGAACAACAACAAGATAATATTCCACAATTTATGAGATGGTGCCAAAGCAGTATTTAGGGGAAAATTTATGTCTCTAAATGTGTACATCAATGAGATAGAAAGAGAGAGAGTAGATCGATGAGTTGGACATGCAACTAAAAAAAACTAGAAAAAAATTAAAAATCTCCAATTAAATACCAAAATTGAAATCCTGAAAATCAAAAAAGAGATTAATAAAATTGAAAGTAATAAAATCATTGAACTAATAAAAAACTAAGAGCTGGTTTTATGAAAAAAATAAAATAGATAAATTATTGGTTAATCTGATTTAAAAAAAGAAGGAAGAAAAACAAATTACTAGTATCAAAAATGAAAAGAATGAACCAAAAAATGAAGATGAAATTAAAACAATTATTAGAGTTATTTTGTCCAATTATATGCCAGTAAAACTGACCATCAAATGAATGAATGGATGAATATTTACAAAAACATAAACCACTCAGGTTAACAGAAGAGGAAATAGAACACTTAAATAACCCTATCTTAGAAAAAAAAAAAACTTGAACAAGCAATAAATGAACTGCCTAAGAAAAAAATCCCCAGGACTAGAAGGATTCACAAGTGAATTATATCAAGTATTTAAGGAACAATTAATCTCAATACTACATAAAGTATTTGAAAAAATAAAGAATGAGTCTTATATATGTCCTTTTATGACACAAATATGGTTTTGATACCTAAACCAGGGAGAAAAAAACACAGAGAAAGAAAACTATAGACCAATTTCTTTAATGAATATCAATGCAAAAATTTTTAATAAAATAATAACAAGGAAATTACACCATTATATCAAAGATAATACACTATAACCAGGTGGGATTTATCCCAGGAATGCAGGAATGCTTCAGAATCAGGAAAACTATTAACATAATTGACTGTATCAATTAAAAAAACACAAAAAAATCATGATTATATCCATACATACTTGAAAAAGCTTTTGACAAAATACAACACCCATTCCTATTAAAAACACTAGAAAACATAGGAATCAGTGGAGCCTTTCTTAAAATGATAAGTAGTATATATCTAAAACTCAAACCAAATATTATATGTAATGAGAATAAACATGAAGCCTTCCTAATAAGATCAGGAATGAAACAAGGATGTCCACTATCACTGCTATTATTCAATATTGTACTATAAATGCTAGCTATAGCAAGAAGAGAAGAAAAAGAAATTGAAGGAATTAGATTAGGAAACAAAACTATCATGCTTTGCAGATGATATGTTGGTATACTTAAAGAATCCTAGAGAATCAACTAAAAAACTACTTGAAATAACTAACCATTTCAGGAAAGTGGCAGGATATAAATAAACCCATATAACTTATCAGCATTTTTTATTCATTACTAACAAAACCCAGCAGAAAGAAATAGAAAGAGAACCTATTTACAATAACAGCAGACAATATAAAGTACTTGGAAGTCTACCTGTCTTGACAATACCCAGGGATTATATGAACATGACTGTAAAGCTCTTTCCATACAAATAAAGACAGATTTAAACAATTAGAAAAATATTAATTATTCATGGATAGGCTGAACCAATATAATACAAATGACAATTCTGCCTAAATTAATTTACTTATTCATTTCCATATCAATCAAACTACCAAGGAATCATTTTGTAGAGCTAGAAAAAATAGTAACAAATTCATCTGGAAGATCAAAAGTTCA